TTTGCGCCTTTCCTGGAACTCACTTGGTAGCCCAGGCTGGCCTCGAACTCACAAAGATCCGCCTGCCTCTGCCTCCCGAGTGCTGGGGCAAATGTAAATTTAATGAGAAGCATTTTTAAGTTAATATTTAAAAGGACAGTTCAGCACTATAGCAGTCCCTCTAAAGGTTTAATACACAACTGAATGTGTCCCAATAAAGTCATGCACGTACGTGGAGCAATTACAAACAGACTCACACAGGGATTTTTAAAATAAATTTATTTACTAATTTAATAAATTTATTTATTTATTTTACATCCTGACCACAGTTTCCCCCCACCCTCTTCTCTGCCCCCACCCCATCCACTCCTCCTCCATTTCTGTTCAGAAAAAGGCGAGCCTCCCATGGATGTCAACAAAACATGGCATATCAAGGTGAAGTAAGAGTAAACACCTTACCTTGTACTAAGGCTGGACAAGGCAACCCAGTATGAAGAATAGGGTCCCAAAAGCCAGCAAAAGAGTCAGAGACAGGCCCTGCTCCCATTGTTAGGAGTCCCACGAGAAGACCAAATTACACAACTGCCACATATAAGCAGAGGGCCTAGGTCAGTCCCATGCAGGCTTCCTGGTTGTCAGTTCAGTCTCTGTGAGTCCCAATGAGCCCAGGTTAGTTGATTCTGTGAATTTTCTTGTGGTGTCCTTGACCCCTCTGGCTCCTACAATCCTTTCCCCCCCCTTCTACAGGATTCCCCAAACTCTGTCTAATATTTGGCTGTGGGTCTGCATCTGTTTCCATCAGTTGGTGAATGAAGCCTCTTTGACAACAATTGGGCTAGTCACCAATGTGGTCATAGGAGATGATGATCAGTTCAGGCTACATATCTGCTATTGCTAGGAGTCTTAGCTGGGGGTCATCCTTGTAGATTCCTGGGAGATTCCCTTATGCCAGGTTTTTACCTGACCCCCTTTCCAATAGTCTCTTTCAGTACACTCCCCCTTCCCCTGCCAACCTGATCACTCATGTTCCCGTCCCCACTCATCCTCAGTCCACTAACAAAATCTCCTCTATTTCTCCTCCCAGGGAGATCCAGGCATCCCCTCATGAATCCTCCTTGTTACTCAGTCTCTCTGGGTCTGTGGATTGTAGCATAGTTGTCCTTTATTTTACAGCTAATATCCACTTATGAGGGAGTACATACCATGTTTGTTTCTATTGGTCTGGGTTACCTCACTCAGGATAATTTTTTTCTAGTTCCATCCACTTGCCTGCAAATTTCTGGGTATCCTTGTTTTTAACAGCTGTGTATATATACCACATTTTCTTTATCCATTCTTCTGCTGAGGGGCATCTAGGTTGTTTTCAGGTTCTGGCTATTATGAATAATGCTGCTATAAACATAGTTGAACAAGTGTCCTTGTGGCATGATTTCTCCTTTGGGTATATGCACAAAAGTGGTATAACTAGGTCTTGAGATAGATCAATTCCCAGTTTTCTGAGAAATGACCACACTGACTTCCTAAGTGGCTATACAAGTTTGCACTCCCACCAGCAATGGAGGAGTGTTCCCCTTGTTCCACATCCTCTCCAGTATAAGCTGTCACTTGTGTTTTTGGTCTTGGTCATTCTGAGAGGTGTAACATAGGCTCCCAGAATCATTTTGATTTGCATTTCCCTGATGGCTAAGAATGTTGAATATCTCCTTAAGTGTTTCTCAGCTATTTGAGATTCTTCTGTTGAGAATTCTCTGTTTAGATCTGTAGCCAACTTTTAAATTGGGTTATTTGGTTTGTTGATATCTAGTTTCTTGAGTTCTTTATACCTGAGCCTCCAGGTAGGAAATAAGTCCTCTGTCTGATGTGGGATTGATTGTTGTGGGGCATTTTGATCACACCCTGACACTTCCAAGACTGACAATAAAGTTTACTTTGAATCAGAGGGCAGAGCTAGTTATTAGCTGACCAAAATTAGCCATAGAAGTTTTGGAGGACCAAGGACATATAGAGAGACACAGGAAGTACTAGGGAGGAGTTTAGAAAGATTCTCTGCCTTTTGGAGCCAGGAAGGAGAGAGAGAGAGTAGGTCACTGGTCGCTTCTCTGCCACTTCTCTGATCATTCAGGTTCTTGCCCTGATATCTGACTCCCAAGTTTTTATTGATAAAGAATAATTAGATAAACACTTCATTTGGTAACGCTCTTTTCCCACACTGTAGGCTGCCGTTTTGTTCTATTGATGGTGTCTTTTCCCTTACAGAAGCTTTTCAGTTTCTTGAGGTCCCATTTATTAATCGTTGATCTTAGTGTCTGTGCTTATGGTGTTCTGTTCAGAATGTGATCTCCTGTGCCAATGAGTTCAAGGTTATTCCCCACTTTTTCTTCTATCAGATTCAGTGTATCTGGATTTGAGGTCTTTGATCCACTTGCACTTGAGTTTTGTGCGGGGTAATAGATATGGATCTATTTGCATTCTTCCACATGCCAACATTCAGTTAGACCAGCACCATTTGTTGAAGATGCTTTCTTTTTTCCATTGTGTACTTTTGGCTTCTTTTGTCGAATGTCAGGTATCCATAAGTTCAAACAGTTATTTGTCCACTCATTTGTGGTAGCAATAATCCCAAGGAAATGTACAAACAAGTGAACCTTGAAGACACAGGCTCAGTGAAAGAAGCTAGACACCAAAGAAAAGACAGTGCATGGCTTACTTAGAAGGGGCACATGCATGGAGACAGAAAGTAGAGTAGATGTCACGGGAGGCTGACACAAGAGGAGAAGACAAAGTCATTGCTTAATGAATGCAATTTCATTTGGAGGTGATGGAAAAATCCTGGAGCTGGATGATGGAGATGGTGGATCAGCATTGTGTCTCACTGGATCTTACACACCTAAAACATCTGCAGTGGTGAACTCTACGTTATGTATATTTCACCACAAAAAGAAATAGGAGAAGGAATAGAAAGAAAAGAAAAAGGTATCGGCAGAGTGGAGACAGAGGGCTGTGTCTTGTAGGCTTCTGCAGATGAAATGTAGCAGGGACTAGTTTCTCTCCTGCTCAGACCTTTAATGGCCCATGGACCCCTTCCTACCCACTTTTTCTCTAAAGCTCATTTCTCGTGGGGAGTAGGCAGTGGGCCAGGTGTTGGCTACAATCAACAAGACAAATCGGACAACGGAGGAAAATAAAAGATGTGGGTGGGGCTGCAGCAGATACACCTTGCTACCCACCTTCAGAAACCAGCAGCCTGTCACAGTCCAGCCTCTCTAGATGCATGAGCACCATGTTAGCGCCTCGCTGCCACACTTGCAAGCCACAGAAGCCACCAGGTAGGAGCTGGGCTGCAGCATCCCAACATCCCAACCCACTTCTGACAGCCGGCCTCTGCAGCTGGGCCCACGCTCCTCCCTCGCACCAGCTGGGGCTGCCGCATTGCAGAGCCCAGGCACAGCTACCACCATCAAAGCTCTCCGAGGACTGGAGTTCTGCTCAAGAAGTGCCTGGTGAACCCTGCAGAACCTCCGGAGCCTGATGTTTCCCTTTCTGATGGTAGAGGGCGCCAGAGAACCATAAACTAGTTTTTAATAACTTGGCACGCGTTGGGGAGGATAATCTTTAAAAGAAACAGCGAAGGAAATAAATGGATTCTCTTCTTTGTAGAACTAGCAGATAGTAACTTCCACAAAACATATTTAAAAACAGACTGTCAATATTGATACATTTTTGATCATTTTTCAGTTTTTTTTTTTCACAATAAAATTTTGAACCGCTCAAGTTCCAAAAGTGGAACTTGAAGTATTTTTAACAAAGAATACTGAGTAGGGGCCTCTGCTTCAGAACTGGGGGGAAAAGAATGCCTTAGGATTCTTGTAACAGCTCCGCGTCCTGATGTAGCCGGAACTGGAACCAAGGATCGCGAGAAAGTCGTCTTGGCTGGGATTGCAGTTGCACTCCGTGTTTGTACCCGGTGTCTCACGGTGTAGAAATTCCAGAACTCCTTATACAGAGCCTCGTTTTCTCAAATGACGACAGGAAAGAAGTAGTGACCAATGGATTTACTTTGTGTTTTTGTTTCATTTGGCCAGAACAAGGTGTGTTTCTTCTATACACAAGGCATTTATCTTTATTATTTAAGAATATTTATTTATTATTAAAGAATAAAATCTGCAGTCTCCAGGAATGCTGCTTCTATCGTTGGACCATTAAATTATTAACCCTGTGTCTTCCAGCAGAAATTCACTGTGGCCTTATTTTTCCAGTGTTTAGTAACAACACCGTGAATCTGCATTCAAGCAGAAGTCTTGAGCTGTTCAGAATCCCTGGGTGGAAAGCCGCACACCTGGAAGGCTGCCTTTAGCCTTTGGCCTGGCAGGATGTTTACAGGGCTAAACATTGACAAGTGTCAGAGGCCCAGACTGGGAAAGGGAAGTACACGTGACAACTGTAGCTAGCAGAGGAAAGAGCAGCTGTTGGGGAGAACACGTTTGTGTCCATGGCTGTCATCAATAAAAGGAGGATAAAAGCAGTGAGTCCAGGAAACTAATGTGGTCTGGTTCTGAGCGCCGGAGGTAAGAGCTGCCTCCATCGCTGCCTGCTGTGATGCTGAGGATGGTGCTTGCATCTCTGAGCCACCATTCCCTAGGTCTGAATCCACAAAGCAACCCCGGGTTTATTGTAGGATACTACTGTGTAGCAAATGTCATCTCTGTCAAAACCTTGACACTAACGTATTTTTGCTCACTGAATGGTTTGTGCCTGTCATTTTCCTTGGCGTGGGTAGTTAAAACGGGGTGTTGCTCAGTGGTAACGCTCTTACTTGACTTTAGTAAGGCCCTGAGTTACACTTTCAGAACCAGTATGTATAACTGAAATTCAATTTTAAGCTAATTTTATTAGATTACACCAACAAATTTTGTCTGAAAATATATCTCCAAGTTTGACTTAAAACCTAGTTGGCTTTCATGAGTGAATCATCCCATCCAAAATAGATTTGTTGGCATGGCACAGAGATTGGCTTTTGTAAGATAACTTGGGTAAAAGAAAACAGGAATCCCAAAAGTGGGTTGGGTGACATCAGGTTACTTTGCAAGAGTTCAAGTAGAAGATGCATTGGTTACTATATTGCTATGACAAAATGCCCAACAAAATCAGCTCAGGAAGGAAGTTTATGTTGAGGATACCGTCCGTCATGGCAGGGGGCATGGTAGTGAGCATGAGACAGCTGGCCATATCACATCTGCAGTAAGGAAGGAGAGGGAGATGAACGCTGGTGCTCCATTGGCTTTCTCCCTTTTTATTCAGTCCAGGACCAAACCCGTGGGGCAGTTCTGCCCATGTTCAGGGTGGGTCTTCTGTCTTCAGTCCAACCGCCTGGATAGACTCTCAAGATACACTCAGAAATGTGTTTTCTGTGGAAATTCTAAGCTTAGTCAAGTTGTCTGTGAAGATTAACCACCACAAAGGGCTTGTTTATTACACCAACTCACTTTGACTGGACTTTTTTTTTTTTTTTTGATTGGTTGCTATAAACCCCTAATTGGGCAGGGGAGGAGGGGTCCTTTCCAATTTCACTTTGTTTATGCTGGATACATGGTTCAGTGGCTAAGAGCGCTGGGTGCTCTTTCAGAGGACTCAGGTTCAGTTCCCAGCACTCAGCTGGTGGTTAAGTAACTCCAGTTCTGGGAGGGGGGACGACCTGATGACTTCTTGCTTCCAAGGGCACTACATGCACATGGTGTACAGACATACATGCAGGCAAAACACCCGTACAGCATGGACCCCATGGCATGCTTGACAAAGTTCCAACATTTTAGCCTTGTGGATCACAGTTCTCTGGTACCCTCTCACTTTTGTCTTAATAATTTTCACTGTCTGCTGTGAGAGTTCCCGTGTGCCTTGGCCTTTGGGAAATGTTGTGTGGGCTTTGAAGGATGAAAATGTTTAAAATGGCAGCCTCTTAAAACAAAATAATTCTTTGGAAATAAATCACGACCGTGGAACCATATAGGGTGATAACTCTGCCTACTCCCACACAGGTTAGCACCAAGCTGCTAGAACATTTAGATAAATAGCATATGCTTGATAAATAAGGTATATTTGATAATCAAGATTTATAAATTCCTAAGGTCTAGTCAAGTTCACAGTAATATTTGCCTAGCTTCTTTGTACGACCTTAAGCTTTAGATATTTGGATAAACTAAGCCATACCAAAAAAAAAAAAAAACCTACAATATTCTCTATTGAAGTGTCTGTCCCCAAGAAAATCCTTTTCCCAAGGCCAGGCATTTAGCAAAAGTCCCCATTCCCTCTGGGGCTTGCTAAAAAGGGAGTCATTCTTATCTCTGGCAGGAGGAACTTGTGGCCCTCCCATTAACATGTGACTGGTGCCTATTAACTTGTCACAGTCAATCCCTGATCACAAGCCACACCCCAGTTCACATGCCCCCTTCCCTTTCTCCCATTTAATCCTTTGTGCAATTATAGAGTATAAAACATGTAGCCTTTCTCTCAATAAAGTGGCAGCCATCCCAATTCACCCTCAGATCCTGTCAGTCTCCTCCTTCACTTTGCCGAATCCACGCCTTGTCTTTGGGACCTGAACTCCACTGTAATTGGATTCCGGCATCCATACACATAAAAAATTTAATTCACTTGGTTTTCACAACACATAGCACAAGCACTTCCATTTTAGTTTGGTCTGTTGAAGCCTGGTGTAGGAGTTCAGTCCAGAGCAATGGCCTTCCATGAATTTATTTGTTTGTTGTATCCTTTGGGTTCTGTTTGGAGACAAGGTATTGCTCTATCACACAGGCTGTCTTCAAACTTTAGATTTTCCTGCCTCTGCCTCCGGAGTGCTGGGATTTCAGATGTACCACCATGTCCAGACAACATGTTTTATCAAATCACGTAAAGAACAGAGAAATGCTTGTTCTGAATCTGGTTTCTTGAGAAACACTGATAAACTGTTCAAAATGAAAGAAAAGATCATATTCAGTAAATTAGTACAAGCTTAAAGAACTGTCTAAAAGACTCAATGAAAGATTGTATATCCTAAATTTCTTGATTTGGAATTAGGGTTTAAGTGTCCATATTAAACAGCTGCCCCTATCTATTCTCTTCATGTGTGACTACTGTAATTTCTAACTTTATTAAATTCAACCCTAAATTTATGCTGTGATAGTCACGTGAAAGTGTCAGTAAACATCTGAAAATAGAGGCTATAATATAGTTGATTTATTTGTTTAGGGTTGCTAAGCACCTATAAAACAGGTAACTATTGAGGAATCTGCCTGACTCCATTTTGAAGGTAAGAGTCATTATACTATATTGTTTTAAAAAAAAAAATACGTTTCTATTTACTATAAGAGCTGAGCTGTTCTCTGTTTCTTAGAATCTGACCTTCCCCAACCCTTGACTTTTGCGACTACCCTTACCCTCCCTGGTGCTCTCTGACCCTCCCTGATGCCTCCCTAATCATATGGTGACCCTATGATGTTTTTTGAGATCCCCTCCACCCCATAATTCCTTTACTGCCCCATTATCTCTCTTCTGTAAACCTGCTTTTCAACTACAAGTGATTTTACCCCTTAAAAGGGGCCCAAGAAATGGATTCAGGACTGCTCTCTTTAACCCAACTTAGGAGGCAGCCACTGGCCAGCTCTTGGGTGCCCCTGAATAAAAATCCAGCTTGCTTCAAATTTGGCTCAAATTTGTGGTAGTGGTCTTATTTGTGCCATTGGGACTAACATTTCTGGAGGCCCCAGTGAGATTCAGACCACTCATCCAAATTCTAAATCTGGATCTTTGATCTGGAACTTCAGGGTTGAGGGGCCACTTCAGGAGGAACATGCCTGGAGGCTTTCCAAGGCTCTGAGGCCGCCTTCAGTTCTTGGACTATCAGAGTGAACTTCCATGCTGAGAAATGCCAACAAGCAGCTACGGAGCCCTCCTGGTGAGTCATAGTCTGGTTCTGTTCTGTGGGATCCCTATCTGGGATGTGGAAGGGGCTCAATGGGACCCCAATATTCTCCTGCCCAGGGCATATAGTGAGAATTTGCCCACCCATCTGCTTCTGGTTCTGGTTGGAAAGTTTTGTCTCTTTCTCAAGAAATAGACTCTCTGTTTTGTGTCTCCTTGTTTTGTTGGAAAGTTTTTTCTGTGTTTTCTGGTGTATCCTTAAGTTTTGTTGCAAGCATGGCGCTGAGTCAGAAATGGGTTGGATATTTTTCCTGCTTTTGCTGCTGCTGGGCACCAGTGCTGCCATGGCTGCCTTTTTGGTCACTGGACTCAGGTTAGCAGGAGTTCAGATGTCTTCTGGGTGTGGATAACTTTAACGTTGTTTTAGGCTGTTCTACTTTATTGGAAAGCTGGTTCTAGAGCTGGATTATGGCTCTGTCTTCACTAGACCCAGGCATGCTTATGTAACCATTTCCTTTATGTCCTGGGTTAGTCTCAGCCGCCTGACCCTGTGGCAGGGAAAAGAAAGCAAAGCAGAACAGCCCCCCCACCCAAAAAAAAAATCAGACTTGGTTTGTGTGAACATTCTGTACCTCAAGATTTGTAAGATTATTGGATATGGTTAAAAATCAATAAAAGCTATGAAAAAAAGTAAATTAAAACGAGTAACACTGGGAGTTGATAGTTTTTTAAAAAAAAACTATGCATGGGTAATTTTAAAGGAACCATGTGGCATGATTCCATTTGGGGACATAAGCAACATGTGGATTGCCACCATCTTTAAGCAGCCACATGGCTGGCATCCATCTTTGCTAGGGTTGAAGAAGGTGGATGTCATGTGACTTTACCACCATCTTGATTAAAGGTGATCACATGGGGTGAGCCTACCCGGGAGGCAACAACAGGTCTCCAAGATATTTTGGGTTAGGATGGATTTTTGTAAGATAATTCCTGTCCTGTCTGAAAACAAGGTTAATGAAAGATAGGATTTAAAAACAATAAGGTGTTAAAGCTGCACCTCCATGCACTCATATTTGGTGCTGGCAGCCAGATTTTGCAATTTAAGAGTCACCCAGATGGTATTTATTGGTTTTAAGTGGTCACAGGGAATTGTGGCTGGGTAGAGTTCCTAAAAGAAAGCCCAGTTGCAATGGTGGACCTCAGCAGTTTTGGAAATGCTGGTGCCATGTGATAGTCACCAGAAGTACCAGCCAAGGGACCTAGAAGGCAGGCTGTTATTGCTACTGAGGGTGGGACCAAAGAGGTGACCTAGGAGGTGATCTATGCCAAAGAGGTGATCTCCCCCTTGAGGAAACCCAAATAATTGTGCGTGAATCCCAGATATTGAGCTGTTAATTGTTGGCACTGTTGGAGCTTAGTTTTGCCTTATGCAGATTGTGGTTGTGCCCTGTATCTTCCCTCTTGAAGTTAAAAAAAAAAAGTACCTTATTTTTTGATAGTGCAAGACCACCCAGTTGAGAGATTTTAAACCTTTTTAAGAGGAAATTTTGGAGTTTTACAGAAAATTTAAATTAAAATAACTGGATTTTTTTTTTCTTTGAGACAGAGTTCCTCTGTGTAACAGCCCTAGCTGTCCTGGAGCTTACTTTGTAGACCAGGCTGACCTTGAACTCATAGAGATCCACCTGCCTCTGCCTCCCAAGTGCTGGGATTAAAGGCATGTACCACCACTGCCTAGGCTGGATATTCTCTAAGGAACACTTTTTAAATATTTAAATGTATAAGGCTATGGGGCATTTTAAGTTTATAAAATGTAATTTTAAAATGGATAAATAAAAAGGTTAAAAATTAAGGCCACAGCTATGAGCACCAAACACCAGAAACTGGGATGGTCCAGTTTTATGATGCAGTAAGACAATGACCTAGGCAGTTTGGCAAAGGGCTTGCAGCAGCTTCTTAATTTGTAAGTCTCAACCCTTTGGGGCTTGAAAGATGTTTTTATGGGGATAGCCTAGGCCCACCTGCATGTTAGATGTTTGCATTGAGATTCATAACAGTGGTAAAAATGCAGTTATAAAATAACAGCAGGCAACGTGGCTAAGCCCTGGTTGCTGGCAGATGGACCCTTCAAGTGCCTGTAGCAGAGACCAGAGAGCCCCCTCTGAAAACCGTTTTGAGGAGGAAGAATCCATCTTCCCTCTTTATAACCATTTTTACAAAGAGCTGCAGCTGCCCTCGTCCATGCTGTGAACTGCCTGTGTTCTTTGCCCAGCCATGCTATGCAGCAACTGTCCGCAGCAGCAGATCTGATGAGACACCTGGGAATTCTTAAGTGTGCGCGTGCGTGCGGGGGTGGGGGGTGGGGGTGGGATGTTAGTTTTTTTTTTAAGTTTTTCCTCCATGTTAAAAATGGGGGGAAAATACTACAATGCAGGGAGTTAGGTCTCTGTATAATTCCACAATGGATGGTTTGAAAATGGAACAACTAAATGAAGGGATAATCAAGACAGCTGAGATTGACATAATGTCAATTATAATCATTATCAGTTTGGCAATTCATGTTTTATCCTTAAAAAAGTTGTTCGATATGGGTACCAAATTAAAAAAAAATGGACTGGTATGATACAATGTTTAGAAAGACCTACTAATGAAACAAAGAAAAATATCCACATGTAGACAGAGGAGTTCAGAGCAGAATCTATTGCACCATTACATTATGAAACAGAAGAGAAGTAGTCCAAGGTTATTAGAAAACCAACCCTTATTTATCCAGGTACCATTCAAGAATGACCACCAGATGATAGACTAAATTAAGGCTATTCAGAAGTTAACTGGGATCCTATAAAAGTGTTTGATTTGAAAATATTTTAGGAAGTAATAGTTTCATATGGTATGAATTCACCTTTTGTAAAGCAGATGTTAAATTCATCCACTGAGAACAGAACCATTCCACAAAACTGGGAAGATTTAGTTAGAGCAGTATTGGAAGCTGGTCCTCAGTTACAATGGAAAACATGGTGGAGAGAGGAAGCAAAGGTCATAAAACAATGATGTTGGGCTAGAAGTATGGAAATTTCCCAAGAACAGCTTCTCAGTGAGGCCCAGTTTGCTGATTTGCAAAGACAGATTACATTCAATGATCACGCCTTGGCATAGAGCCATACAGCAGCTTTGAATGCTTGGGACAGGGTTAAAGAATCAGGAAAGAGGACTGAGCATTTATCCCACACCTCAAGAAGGCACTGGAAGAAACTGCCAAAAGAGGAGCCAAACCCCCAGAGGTGGAAAGTGACTGAAAAAGAACCGTTAAAAATCAAACTTTCTAAGATTTGACCGTCTAACATAAGTTTGTGTTCTTGGTGTTGAAATATGTATCATGGTTATCCTATAGCTAACCATTTTGTTGTTCTGTTTTCAACCTACGCAAACAGAACCTAAATGCATCTTGAGAGGGTAAATAAAAGGCTCCCCTGTCATAGGAAACAGCCTGATATTGCCTTTATCCACCAGGGCCCATAGTTTGGACAAAAGAAGGAGAACAAATAGTCTTTAGCCGGATGGATGGAGGATACTTAGGATGGACTAATATAAATAACCAATTGCAATGTAATAACACAGACTTCAGCATAGTCAAATATCTTTAAAGGGTTCTGATAATGGAGATTACAGGTGTGCTAAAATAAGAAGAGGGAGGGAAGAGTCATTAATCACTTCAGTTGAACATAACATATGCAGAATAACTTGGCCCATAACTAATAATATGGAATATAATTTCTGAGTCCATCTAGCACTAAAAAGCCAATGAGAAAACTGCTGTGTCAGAGGAGATCCCTCTATTCCCAGGATTTTAAAAAGATATTTGGGTGGAATAGGGGTTTCTTATGAAAAACATACAAGGATAACAGAGACGTAATAGAACATTCCCCCACTAATGTTTTAAAGGCTGCAGCTGATATCCCCATTGATAATGCCTTTTTCTTCCACTGTCTCTGTTTTGATTGCACAAATGTCCCTTCTTGATGTAATTCCACTTCTTATCACACTTTTTATTCCATTTGGTTATCCCTATTTTACTCAGGAGTTCTTTACAGTTTGTAATGGAATTACAAAAGCGCTTCCTGAAAATTTTGGTGATTCCTCACATCTATTAGACCCCACTACAGTTGCCGCTACCACAGCCTTTCTGTCCCCCGTCCCAGGACTTCTTGTTGGACGACAAAGAGAGGTTTCTGAAATGGCCTGTCTAATTTCAAAAACTACTACTATTTCAGCAAAAATATTAGCAGAAATTAATCAAGAAACGGGAGAACTGAGAACAACTGTTCTCCAAAATAGAGCTACTATAGGTTACCTGTTACTTAAACATTATCTTGATTGTTTAATGACTCTGATTTCTCTTGTACTATTGATAACCAAATTGATGATCTAATCTCTCAAACAAACTTAGATTGGCCAATATGGCTAAGATGGTTCTCCTCCTCTAATATTATTTCTATTGGTTATCATAATCGGGCCCTGTGCCCTCCAAAGGGTCACTGACTTGATTACCGGTCAGATAAACAATTCTAGAATCATTGCTGCTTGACGATAATATTAAGACATCCCCCTATCAAAGATTTGACAGGGAAACGTAAGTCAAGGGGAATGAGGAACCTGCCTGGCCACATTTTGAAGGCAGGAGCCATTATGCTGTATTGTCAAAAATGAGTTTCTGTTTACTGTAAGGGCTGAGTTGCTCTCTGTTTCCTGGAACCTGACCTTCCCCAACCATGACCTGAACTTTTGAGAATATCCTTACCCTCCCTGAGGACTCCTAATCACCTGGTGACCACATGGTTTTTGAGATTTTTGTTCTCTGCATTTCCTTACTGCCCCGTTCTCTCTCTTCTGTAAACCTGTTTTGCAACTACTTGAGATTTTACTCCTTAAAAGGGGCCCAAGAAATGGATTCAAGACTGCTCTCTTTAACCCAAGTTAGGAGGCAGTCCAATCAAAAGCCAGCTTGCTTCAAATTTGTCTCAAATTGTGGTAGTGGTCTTATTCTCACTATAGAGATTAACAGTATATCCAAGCCCCATAAACTTCTGAGGACGTCATTCATTTTTAGTTAACATCCAAATATCCTTGGCTCTGCGTTAAAATGTGGTTGGAAAATTAGTGTCAGGCTTTTATTAGAAAATTAGAAAAGGCTTTGTGTTCCACAGAACCCTCTAGCAACCTGGAGACCCTTCTCAGAATCATGATTCACTGTGTTCGGGGAATTATAAATGAGAGAGTAAAGATTAGCTTGAACTTTACAAAGTGGGCTGGCTAGTCATCATCCTGAAGTAAAAGTCAGATAAAATCAGCCTGAGAACTACAAGGAAATAGTGCTTCTCTCCAATCCTAGTAGAGGTTAAAATGTCATCATGGCATCCTGCTCTTCCAGTCACGGAGAAACTTTGCCTTCTCAGATTTACAGGCTTGGATTTTTCTTTCGGAAAATACATCATCAAGCATGAAACATCTCGAACCTTTGACAGGAGACTCTCCGAGAATCAGCCTCACACCATAAGCCAGGCTGGAGGGAGGTTTGCATTGCCAACCCCAAGCTTCTTCCGGGAGGACAGCGTTTTGTTTTTGTTTTGTTTTGCTTTGCTTTAGCTTCCGGCGCACGCGCGATGGAGCCGAGGCGCTCGGGCCAGGCCAGGCCAGCGGAGGCGTCAGGCGCTCGGAGGTCACGCGCCCAGGGCGGCGGCGCGCACGCTCGGCCGACGCGGGGTCGGGAGCCACGGGGATCCCAGGGAACCGTGCATGGCGCGCGCAGGGCGACGCGGAGCGGGCTGGTGCTGGGCGCTGGCGCTGCTCGGGCTGGCGGCGGCTCTGGGCGCGTCCCCGACGTCGGGGCGCCGCTGGCCGGTGCCCTACAAGTGAGTGAGGCGGAGCGGGGAGGAGCGGCGGGGACTTGGAGGGCGCACAGCCCATGACCCCGGCGTGCTTGGGGACGCGGGGCACAGGGCGACCCTGGGAGCGCGGTTCCTAGCTAGCTGGAAGCAGAAGGGTTCCTCACCGATTCAGGGCTGTCCCGAGTCCTGGGAGGAATGGAGAGTGAGATTACTGCGCTGAGTGACTTTTAGGTACAACTAACTGACTCGGAGAGCAGGTTAAAACACATTTGACACCCCGAATTTATTTCACGCTTTACCATTAGCTGTCTTTTGCATAACATTTGCAGAATTACAGGGAGGTCGCCCGCCCAGGTGTGCTCCGGGTTTCCCAATCTTACTGCTCTAAATTCCAAACCTGGGGAATCTCCTCCCCGAGACAATCAGGATCACCTCGTTGGTCCACTTCTACCTGAAGGTGCTGGCTCTGGACCTGAGAAGCTAATTGGAGTCTTTGACCTAGCTAAGCTTTGAGGGCGCATGGGAGATTGCGAAACACCAGGGGCGGGGGCTTGGGGGTTGGGGGTGGTGCAGGGAGCCTGGTGTGGACATCGAGAAGTGGAAGGAACTGCAGCGTTTGAAAACAAATGTTTTTGCATAACAGCATGAGCTGAGAAGATGAAGGATGGGATGGTCTTCCAGGGAGTTCTTGGTTCTGAAGTCCACAGATCGGATCTGGTTCGACCAGCTCATCCTCGGTGTGGTCTTAGGAAAATTACTCAGTATCTTCATGCTCACATGCCCTGAACAGAAAACAGGAAATGGTAGTAGCACTATCATTGATTGGCAGGATCATCTCTAGTGAAAACTAGCTGTTGCCAAACTTAAATATTCCAGTGTTCTGCTCATGAACTTCAGTGTAGTCCTGTACATAGTAGATAGATCCTCAGTAAAAATTAGTTGAATGTTTATTTTTAAATACGAAATCTTTATGATTCGATATTTAATACATCATTGGAAGTGTGTATATGAAAACAAGTAAAATGTCCATTTATGTTTAGTCACAATGATATAAGCTTCAAATATTTTTCTTAAAAAATATTGCTGAGGACCGAGGAGATGACCCAGTGTTCACAGCACAGTCCCCAGGGCGTGAGTCTGGATTCTCTGAACTCATGTAGAAACCAGCATGGCAGTGTATACCTGTGACCCTAACTTTATGGAGGGAAAGGCAGAGGAAGGCAGATTTTTGAAGCTCATTGGCTAGCCAGTTTAGTGAGAGACCCCGTTTCAAAAAATAAAGGTGTAAAGCAATCAAGGAAAGGTACCTGTACCTGTACATGTGCACATATACATGAAACAGCCCCCACAGAGACAGAGAGGGAGGGAGAGAGAGACAGAGACAGACAGACAGACGACACAAAGAGAGAGTGAGAGCAAGCCCCGAGATGAAAATTGGGATTCTAAAGTGTGTTAGAAGAACAGTTCCTGTTATGATCTCATTTGATGGTTTTGATGGTTTTCTTTCTCCCTAGACGCTTCTCTTTCCGTCCGAAGCCAGATCCCTACTGTCAAGCTAAGTATACCTTCTGTCCTACTGGATCACCCATCCCAGTTATGAAGGACAATGACATCATCGAAGTCTTAAGACTACAAGCCCCTGTTTGGGAATTTAAATATGGAGACCTCCTGGGACACTTTGTAAGAATGCATCTTGATCTTGTAACTTTGCTTAAAAGTAATTTAGTTATTCCTTTGACTTAAATGAGTAATCAGATGGTTACTAGATCATATTTATTGATACATTTTGTATGTGTGCATGCACATTTTGTATGTGTGCATGCGTGTGTGTGTGTGTGTGTGTGTGTGTGTGTGTGTGTGT